CCAGTCACAAGTGCACTTCACACATCCTCTCAACCCCTCATCCATTTATTCATTCCCACTCACAGTATCTGAAGGTAGATTGCTATGTTATTTGGAGCTACCACTTATTATAAAAGCACATGCTAAATGATCACGTCCACTGTAATATCACAGCAACACTCAGAATGATCCCACAAAAACCAGGAAAAGTTAGTGCACACACAAAATTAAGCTAAAAAAAGTCTTTGGAGTTCCAATCACACAGTTAGTATAACAATCTCACAATTGTGAAGACTAATTATAAGCTTTATAATCGATTAAGTTGCACAGTGCAAAGAAACATCCATTGACTCTTTTTTGTAAATGGAATGATGGAAGCCACATAGGTAAGTTCAATGGATAGTTCATATATACATGTGACCAGGAACACCCAAACCAGATTTGTGCTCTCAGATTAGTCATTCTGAATCACGATGTACTTCTGAAGCATCAGCTCTGCAAATTGGGCAGGTACGATTTGCCTGTAAAAGTAGAAATAAAAGAAAGTTTAATGCACTGACAAATACACTCCTTACAGTTAACAGTGTCTGCAACCCAGAAACAAAATGGAATTGCCACTTACAGCGATCAAGAGTACCCAAAATGGATACACACACACAAAAAAGATAAACTCAGCATGCACCTGTTTTCTGTTACTTTAGAGTATGTGAAAATAACCTAGAATTTTTTTAAACTCAAAAGAAAAATCCAGTGGGAAGAGAAACCCACCATCTCTAGAGAAGCAAGACAGAAGTGGAAAAAAGTGCCCTATGGTAGGGCATCTGAGTCTTTCTAGCTCTTTATTATGAATCATAGCTTTTTAGACTCTCACTACCCTGTTATCCCAGCAGAAGAGCAGAAGTCTATCATGAAGGCTTGGCCAAAATTTCAAAGCTGAGAGGGATGGGGAAAAAGAAGGGTTTTTAGTAACAGACACAACACACAATCTGACTAAACAGCTCCAAAGCTGAACATGCAGAAAAGTTTAGCCTTTTACTGAAAACTTATTGAGACTGCACCGATTCATAAAATAATTCATGTTGGAATGATCCTCAGGTGGTGTCTAGTTCAGCCTCCTGCTCAAAGCAGTCAGCTGTAAGGTTAGACCAGGTTACTCAGGGCTTTCTCCCATTAAGTCCAGGAAAGAGGCTGCACAGCATCTCTGGTCCCCTGTTCAACTACTTGTTTTTGTGTATTTCATCAAATAATTTCCCCTTCACATCTTAACATAACTGGTGTAAAGATGAATTAGGTGCACATAATGTATCATAAGCTGCAATGCATATCCTCTCTTAAACTTCCTATTCCTTCAGTCAAGCTAACTTTCTGCACAATGAACTGCAATTATCATAAGAAACATTAAATAGAAATATTCTAGCTGAAATGAACCACATTTAGAAGAAAAGGATTTACAGCTTGAGCCTTCAGGGTGAATACAGGTCATGTTTTCAAGTTTTTCTTTGGAACTATGCTTAAATCCTGCTTTAAAAAAAAGATTTCTCATGTATTCCTTTGACTCAAGGAGTTAGGATATCAATAAACAATCAGATATTGTGAAACATGATAAAATTGAGAACTGAAAAGACTGACAAGGAAAAAGGATATCCTCTTTCTTGTTATTGTTGTCCCATTCACTGTTTAACCTCTTTTTCATGAGTCTTCAGCCTTATGTGACATGGATTTTTTTCTCACTGTAGTCTAATATATAAACACATAATTCATAATTCAGTAGAAAATAGGTTTTCCCTCATATTGCCTGGAAAATTCTTTCTATGTAGGGTTTTATAACTATAGGATGGACAAAAATACAAATTTCATATATAGACGTCAAAGTTTGCTTTGATGTCCTCTATTGTTGCATTACCAGCTTGTGATGGAATAGAAAGTTTTACTAAAATTTACCAATGATAATGTGTTCCCTTGCACAATTTATCAACATGGGATGTGAATTTAAAGCGCAAAAGTTATTTTACCCCACTCCCTAAACAGTCTAAAACTTTGTGTTGACATAGAGTAACTATACTCCCTTTAGGCTCAGATTACACAAATCTTTCAATTAAAGAGAAACCTGCCTAGTTGACGCTTATGCTGATGTATTTTTTCTAAAGTCAGTCATCCTTTAGCCAATACTAGTGTTAAAAGTCAGCAATTTCTAAACTTGGTTAGAAGCATCAGCACAAAACTGCCTCACAAATACTACAGTTCATTTCAGATTACTAAAAAAAGAATGCCCCCCAACTGTTTTTTCTGCATTTTTCTGATCTCTAAGGGCTATCTTCATTACCCTTTGATTGCCAATCAAAAGTACTTATTGTAACATAAGAACTGCCATATCGAGTCCAACCAAAGCTTCATTTAACCAAATACTCTGAACTGAACAGTGATCAACAGCAGGTACATAAGAAAGAGTATACATGATAGGTTGGAAAAGACCTCCAAGATCAAGTCCAACCATTGACCGAATACCACCACACCCACTAAACTGTATTGTGAAGTGCCATGTCTACTCATTTTTTTAACACTTTCAAGGATGGTGACACCACCACTTTCCTGGGGAGCCTGTTCCAATGCTTAACCACTGTTACAACCTGCCCTGCAAGGCAGGAGTAACTTTTGGTTTTTGTTAATAAATGCCTTGCAGTGAATTAAAGTAAATTGATACTAGATGATCAGTGTTTACAGATATATATATAGGATTTCATTTTAGAACAATTTGGTAGCAAAGGGAAACATATATGTAGCCATTTTGGTTGTTATTATCTATAGTAATATGGCAATATAAAAGCATAAATATATCACCCAAGAAAATGTGTAAGGGAAGAGAGAGAACGAAAGAGAGAATAAGAGTTAAATAGAAAAGAGAGAAAGAGAGAGAAAGAATAAAAGTTTATAGTCACCACTCAGAGGTCTGACGAATTTGGTTGTTGTCACTGTTGTTGCTGTTGCTGATGGTATCTTGATCCATTGGGGAGTGGTAGGGGAAAGAAGTCCATGAAACATAAAGTCCGATGGGTTTATATACCCTCAGAAATCCTCCTGGTGCCTCCCCTGTGTGTGTGCGGGGGGGGGGCTGTTTTTGCATAGTTATGCTGGTTTTGCAGAGAGCTGGAGGTGCTGGTTTTTGCAAAGTCATTTTAGGCTTGGGAGGAGGATGTGTGCTTCAGAGGCACCCCTGCTAAGAGCTTAGGCCTTCTCCAGGGTAGTGGTGGGTGTGTGCACACGGGGGCGCCTGGCCCATAGGAGATAAGCTTCACGCACCCAGAGATTGCCACTGGTCTCCTTTAGATAGGCATCACACACCCAGAGAAGCATCACACACCCAGTCACCCCCTGGGCCTCGACAAAGTTAACAGTTTGTGGGCTATGACCTCCTCCCCTTAGCCTTTATCTTCACTCTCCTGGCTTCTTTGAAGTTTTCTAGAGTAGCAATATTTAAGGCAATTAAAAAAGTCCAATTCCTCACAACCACTCTTTCAGTGAAGAAATTTTTCCTAATATCCAACCTGAACCTCCCCTGGCACAACTTGAGGCTGTTTCCCCTTGTCCTATCACTAGTTGCCTGGGATATTTCCCTGATGCGCTTCCCTACCTTTCAGCAGTCTGTGGGTCAAGTGCTTTTTAAGACAGATGCAATGTCTTTGCATCAACAACCTTGGGAGGAATTATTTTTTAAAAACTTAGCAACCTTCATGGAATTTCAGCATCCATCATGCCATGGGGTGCATGACATCCGATGGTCCTAATTCTCATTTTAGAAGAGGGAGCAAATTATTTTTCCTTGTTTACCTTCTCTCCATGCCACATGTAGAATCATAAAATATCTCAAGTTGTAAAGGACCAATAAGGATCATCGAGTCCAACTCTGTGAAGAAATTCCTCCTAATGTCCAACCTGAACCTCTCCTGGCACAGCCTGAGCCTAGGTCCTTTCATCCTGTCGATAGTTGCCCGGGAGAAGAGGCTGACCCTCACCTTGCTACAACCTCCTTTCAGGTAGTTGTAGAGAGTGATAAGGCCACCCCTGAGCCTCTTTTTCTCCAGGCTAAATGACCCCATTCTTTCTGGGGTGCCATGTCGCCACAGAACTTGCTTTTCAAGGCC